TGTGAATCTTTATCAGTACACTTGATCATCTATAGTTGAGTCCGGTTTAGTAATTTGGAACAAGATAAATTGAAAAGTAACTGTTCTTTCTGTTGCCATGTGGGCTTCCGTTAAGATTGGCTTTGTGATTTTTTATTTTATCATACATTTATACTAAGCTATCTAATTTGGTATCAACGCTCTTTTCAATTTGGCAGAACAATTTAATTCTGAGATACGACGTCCTGAAAAATGCTAATCTTATGGGATTAAGCAGTATGCACAGGTCAATTGTCTCGGCGACCTGACGACTAAATCACATGAGAAACTTTTTATGTTCAGAATTAAAAAATATATTTATCATGTATGCGTCACTAGGTGGACGCCTAGAACTGATCACGTGTGAAACACGTCTCTTTAGGTATTCTTTTCTGGGATGTCGTTTGAAGTCCGCGGCGGTATACGTGAACTTCTTCATTCGAAATGTTCCGCTTTTCTCTCCTCAGCAGCCAATGAGGCCCAGCATTTACAGCCACACAGCTTAACGCTTATAGCTTCCTTGTGTACAGAATTGTTGATGTTCCATTGGTTGAGGGCACGTCTGGTCCATCCCTGCAGACAACCGCTAGTCCCTCAGTCGCGCAGGCCGTGAGCTCAGGTCGACCTAACCATCGGCAAGACTCGAAATTATGCTGCTTTGGTTTGGTCCCAGAGCTTTGACCTTCTGACATCTACTCCCAGGGTTTCCTCTAATTTCTTCCTTATTTTTTTCTCTCTTACTGTGCATATCACGCATGATGGGTGCGCTTCTACCACTCCGCTCCGCGACCCTGCCGGCGTGCGCCAACCGGATTCCTGCACGTCACTGACTAAGCGACAACGACAGCTGTATTCGCATTTCGTAGCACCCCTGGCGTCAGCTCCAGCACTACCTGCGTCTGCTGCCTGTGCTTCTCTGCTCAGCCTAATGCTCCTTTTCGTTGCATGTTACTGACAGCTCTGTTCTATCGATATCCTTTCGTTTTACCCAACTCAGGATATTCGGATACCACAATCACCACCGAAGGTCCCCTAACATAGAGCTCCCTACTCGAATTCCTTGACAGAGTTTGGCTGTCCGTACGCCTGCTCGTCTCTATGTGCTCTACGTGTATGTGTATGTCTGTGAGATGGTGAAAAAGAGAAACATTGGCATTGACCGTTTGGCCGGGAGCCGCTGGCGACGCCGCTAGTCGGCTAGACGGTTCATGAAATTGAAAATCCAAATCAAACATTGGACCCTTGTTGCAACGGAAACTTCGATGACTGTAGCAACGTTATCGACGGCGGCACGAGCTTCGCCGCCAACTGAATCCGTATTTCCCAGGAGGCTAACGGACAGCAGCAGCTACGGCCAGTGTCAGTCGGTTGGGTCAACGAGGTTCGGTTTGCAGCCGGCTTCTGTCAGGACGAGGACCGGGATCGATCTTGCTAAGACTCCCAATCCGGCAGCGTGCTGGCTGGAGCCCTTTCGATTCAGTAGGCAGAGCATTGACTTGCGTTTCATCACAGGTCGATGGCGCCAAAGAGACGATTGTGTTACTACTGGCATAAAACTGACCTTATTCGAGTGTCCTGTAGGAGCCTTTTCTTCTTGTTTGAACCATCCTTCCTGCGAAAGCTAGACCGGATGTTTATAGCGCAAACGTAGCGAACACTATGTATGTCAACGCACATTTTCCAGAAGATACGTTACTTTATTCTAGCTAGGCAGATTTAAATAATCCCAAAAACCGGATAAAATATTACTGGCTTTAAAAAATCGAAATTTACACAAAATTGAAAAACGACTGTAGCGACTAGTAAATAATGAAAAAGCCCAGGAAAGTAGACATAGCTAGATTGTGGGTTTCCCAAAAATTACAGAGGTCCAACGGTAGATACACCCGCCATTGATCAGAGTGTGCTTTAAGATACTTAGAAAGTTTATATATTTTTTTCTAGTAACGAGGGAAATGCTGTATGGACTTTGAACGCCTGGGTATTGATATTGGCAATGTGGAATCGAATAAAAAGAGATTATCATCACTCTACGACGGAACCTGGACTACTTGGTAGACCATCTTGTATGCGAAACGTTCAGTGCAATGACCTACATGTTTCCTACAGTTGTTTGCTGTTATATAAACGCATTAAATTTCTGCTCTCAAAAATTGAGTATGTAGATATCAAAACGACCCTATTACCTATTATCGGGTAAGATGTACCGGTATGGGTATCATGGTAAGGTCGGCGTGGGTTACCTTTTTCTTTTTACCAAACATTTTCTCTAATTAATATACTGTTAAAAACCTATTCCATTAGATACTTTAAACTTAGAAGTATCACTCAAAGTGATCTGACTGAGACTAGAATCACGTTCTTTTGACGAAAATTCGCTATGAGCGTTAATATTCATAATTGTGAAACGATTTTTCTTGAGGTGCGGGTCTTCAGTTTTCCTCTACCGTATTCGAATTAATATCCGCTACAGCTACGCAAATAGCCAGCTTCGGAAGATCATTTTATCACGTTTTGTGATATGTTATGCTTCAATCCGTTAAGGGAGAGGCTCACTAGTGGCCCACCCATCCCAAGTTTATTGAAGGTACTTTATGAATTTAAATTAATTTCACTACTCTTATTATTATTGTGCATTGTATTTATATCATATTTTTCCCTAGCTATTTTAAGGTTGCAGCTTACACTTAGTTGCATAAAAACGCGATTGGTGCTGATTAAATTTTGTAGTTTTAGCGCGTAAAAACTATACTCAATAATGCGACGAATATAATCACAAATGATTTGGTTTCAAATATGTTAGCTTTGATCAGCTAGAAATATATTGCTTTAATCACAGCCAGCAAGATCGTCGCTGAAAATGATAAAAGCCTCTCCGTCTCTGTATATCGCCCTTACCGCCCTCTTGCATAGAAAACCCGGACAAATCAAACCTTCTACAAGATCCATACGTGCAGTATTGCCTCGATAAATTTCGCCCGTCGTCGCTAAATAATCGAGTTGATGGTAATTACTGCTGGCGGTCTTAAAACCAAGATCTTCCATTCCTTGCAATGAACGCAGGGAGTACATATTGGACACGACACAGTAGCTTACGCGCGATCTACTACTGATCGCCGCAGGCAGGTGCCGTCACTACCGGCGTTGTCAGACACTCGTGGCTGCTGTTGCTAGCCTCTCGCTGGTAGGTTCGTGGCGCTAGTTTTTTTTTCTCTGATCGTAGTTTCTTTTCATCCCTGTACTTGTATCCCTTTCTTCCTCAACCCCTGTGAGCGTATGTTAACTTTCGATTAGGTGTCTGTTTGCCACCCAGACGCTAGGTCGGTGACGGAATCCTGGCGTCGACTATCACCACAGCTCTACAATGATAGTTCTTGTCGTCATGGGCAGGATAAGGACAGATGAAACGAACAAACGGGCAAGCGGAGGCCGATTAGTCTGCATCGAGTCATAGAAAACGCTAAAAGCTACAAGATGACGTGCTGGACATCCAACAGCGGTGGAAGGAGAAGGAGCAGAAAAAATCGTGACTCTCTTGCTTTTCTACCGCTTCCGTCGTACAGGCGTGGGGTTTCGCTAGTTGCGGCTGCAAGCAGTCGGTCACCCAGCCAGTTTGTTCGCCAGATCGTTGCGGAATACAGTATATAGGCGGACGCCAAAGACAACCGGGACAGTTAGCATTATCCACTCATTGCGTGTACGGCGGCAGCCTGTCAGAGCAGCAATTGTAGCGGGAGAAGCAACGGAATTGGTGGCACCATGAGTCAGCACACAGTTTCGTTTCACTCTGATCTGGATGCTCGGAGCTAGTCATATTGCTTAGTGATGCGGACGCGAGAGGAAGCTAACATACGAGGTCGGAGTTAGCAGGCGAAGATTCCCTGATCCACAGCGGCCCATATTGTCCGCCGCATAAGCGTGTAGTCGTGGCCGTATGTTACTCAGCGGGCAGCGGCAGGGTTGCTGGAGCTGAAGCTCAGCCTTCTCAGTAGCAACTCGCACCAGAAACTGACCAAATGGGCAATGCTCTTCTGTTTCCTTAGGTCACGTACCGCGGACCGCACGTCGCGGCTTGGTTCTGTTCGCTATCGCAGCCTGGACAACATTCACAGATGGGGGAAAGCGGAAGAGGCCCTATAGATAGATAGTTCCGAGACATCGACCGTAGTAGTGGTCGTGGGTGGATGTGTTGGTGGTAGCTTGGTAAGCGACATATCGTAAGAAGCGGAGTCTTCTTCGTGTGAGGTTAGAAGCATGATCACGTTGTCGATCACTGCATGGACAAACTGAATAGTGTTAGGTCGGTCATGATGGAGACTGCAAGACCAGAGATTCCCGCATGGCTCTCGACACCAGGTAATCGAAGTTCAGGGCATCAGATATGTATCATGTCAGCGTGGCGAATAGGCGGTTGGCTGCTGCGATAGTTTTTGTCCAGCTTATCATACATGTTAAAAAGAATATAGATACTTCTTTTCGTAGACGACGAAATATTGTATACACGATAACAGGGACTAGCATACAGCGGACTAGCCTAGCGCAGGCGGTGTGAATTATATATTTATACTGACCGAAAGCGTCTATAAGTGGATTAATATCAAGTGTTGATACGAAGATAATCTCTCAGTTTCAGATGAGGATCGAAACTAAAACTGCTCAACGGTGCATCTGTGCTTTATCTATTGAACCAACGAGATAGCTAAGTACGAAAAATGTACGTTACGCGAGTCAGAGATCAAATTCTGGCCAACGGACGAATTTGGTAGAACTGTGATTGTAGGAAGAAATTGATTGCTGCAAATAGAAAGCATCAAACTGATCTGATGAGGAGCTATAATACTGATGCGCGAGCGAATATTCAACCTTTTTGACTCCAACTTTTTGCAAAAGGACACTGTCTTAATCTGTAATGCTCTTAACTGAATAGTCCAATCGGGACTGTTGGAAGCGTAATAGTAATGAGTTCTAACTTTTCATTTCAGGCATTGGGATAATTGCCATTATGATATGCGGCCTTTTGGTACGTATCAAACACTTTAGAATGCTCGGCTGTCCTATCCGAAAGAGTAATAGAGACATTTCCTTGTTTTTTGAATAGATCAGAACTGTGTTAATATACGATAGTTTGAGAAACCCAGGTCTAGCGAACAAGCCGCATATGAAAACACTTTCACTTTTAGCTAGCAAATGGCTTTATGCGTGCTCAAAGCTGTGTCGTTATGAGCAATTTCATTTTGCAACTTCACTGACTTATTAAAAGCTTGCTTTTTTTTTTTTTTTTTTCAATTGAGCGCTAGTTAGTTCAATAGTTTAGTATTTTAACTGTTCGAAATTTGAAGCAGAACAGTGTCGTCTTTATATTGCAGCGGACACGCAGAAGAACTTTCTCCCTATCAACCCATCATGTCTATTCATTTCATAAAAAACACACCCTATTTGCTTATTTTTCCCATAGAGTTTTGACCATTCGCAACTGTTCGTCGAACCGTTTTAGCGAGGCCTTAATCCAGTAATGTTTGACAGTTTTTTTTTTATGAAACTTTTCGAAATGCTTACCCCGTTGGCCATCGTCCAGACAAATTTCTTTTGAGTGACTGCAAAATACTGTATTCCCAATGGACTTAAAAGTGGCAGAGTCTGAAAAGGATAAGATAGACACAACGTGTGGCTTTTCAGATCCTTCGTTGCTCACTGTATTTCCCTTAGACTTCTACAGAACTTCCCAAAATAATTAAAGCAGTCGTTCAATGCTTAAAACCTAGACTTGGCGTTTATAATAGAAGACATCAATCCAAGCAAATAAAACGTTCCGTAAAAGCGTTCTCAAATCTGATTCGCTTACTTTGAAACCTGTGCTCTGCTAATGAGATTTATAGTATTGGCCATGGATGAACTTTTGTGTAAAACTCTAAATGTCAGGGTGTTAGTCAATTTAGTCAGCATGCTAACGAAGGTAACCGCCTAAAACAAAGTCATCCCTATGCTTTTTATGGTAGCAATCAGAACAGACAAAAAAGACGATTAGTATCAAGTGTAACACGGTAATAACACGGGGCTGACGGAAGATAGAAACAAACAGAATTCGATAATCATTTCGCCGTCGGAGCAGAGCACGCTCCGGAAACCTTCTTTTTACAGTTACGATTCCCATATACATCGTCGTTTTGCTTACCGTGGTCGTTCCTTAACCAAAGAGGAAAAAACAATGCCAGCTTCGCAATTTTCCACTTTTCACCAACGCTCCAAGGCTATACAGTATAATAGACCGCCTGAACGGTTGTATCCGACAGTGTGTTACGGAAAAATGACCCAAAGCCACAGGGTTGCCGACTCCGCATTTTTACTGTAGTAGTACAACGAAGTTGTTACGATGAAGAAGCACTTCTTTAGTCCGTCCTTCTCTAGTTTCTTCTCCACCGTCTCAACTCGCTACCGCTTGATGACTACTGGTCAGATCCACCGTGGAAGCGAGTGACAGTGACAATTTCTCATTCCCAATTTCCCGGGCGTTTCACAATGGTACATTGTATTCCTTTATGTCTTCCGCTGCTTCGCAGCAGTGTGTGACCGTGCGATACCCATGCAACCCAATTCTTTTCGCTAGGCCTCTTGACAAGTACGGGGCAGAAAGCATGTCTGGTATGGACGCAGCATGGTGGTCAACGCGCACGTCGCTAAGTCGAATAGTCGTGATGGCTCCACCCAGGAGACCACTTGGGTTAGGAGGAGTGATATGAAGAACTCAATAGCGGCACAACTGGTACACCGAGTACTTCTTGTCGCCGTACGCCGGGGCCATTGCCCTCAAACCCGCTAGTCATCATCCGATTCGGTCACCTGCCACTTGAAGAAATTATTCCCAGTGCTCGTCGTCCTTTTCGTTCTGTTTATTCGTTTTCCGTCGAAGTAGACACGAGAACTCATCGTTCTTGCTTTCGCTATGCCTTCCGTGACTCTCTTTATGCGCTGGTTCGACAAAGGCTATTATGCGGATCTGCTCGCATTTTACTTTGCTGCATCTGAAATTACGTTTCCGTTGATGTTTGTAAAAATAAAAATTCAGTTTACAACGTCAACATTACGCCAGCTTTGCATATGAAATGGGCTCTTTTAGCTCACTCACAACAGCTGAAAAAATTACAGCAACGGGCGGGAGTGTTTCGAAAATTATGATAATTGGTAGTGCTAGTTTCCGTTCAAGGCTAAGTAGACTGGACGCGACTAGGCAAACTGAGACGGAAGTAAAGCACCTGGTGCACGGTTATAGTGAACTTACAGTTTTGACGTGACTAACTTACATATTTGGATTTGCACAGAATATTTGGTATTGACATAGTCAACCTTAGCCTCAAAAGCGTGAAGTAACTAAAAATAATGGATAGATAGAGGCTGATTTGTGAGCAACTTTTACATGACTCGTTACTACATCCTTTATGCGTGTTGTTGTTAGTGACAAAATGAAAAAAAAAAAAAAAAAAAAAAAGTGTTAACTTGATAGTTAACTGCTCCTAAAAATAATTTCAAATAAAGATATTATTTCTTCCAGCAGCCGAGTGGTAAAGGTAGAACCACCTGGAACCCACTAGCAGAGTCCCCGGTCCCAATAAGTTTGGTACTGATACTAATTTTTTTTACGGATTCGTGTACTTTTGCTGCTTTCTCATTTTATTCCGTGTTCCTATCGTTCTATATGATGGCAGGCAGTCCGACCAAGTCTGTCTCTACTGGCATTGATAGCTTGCGTCTCTGCTCTTATGGTCATGGAGAGTTAGCTGTAGAGTGGGAGGTTTTTGTTTTGTATGAACTTTGTGCTTCGGACAGTGTGGCAAGAACAGGCAAGAGGATTTTTTTGGAGACAAACATGGAACCTAACCCAAGGCGGAAGGAAGCCAAAAGGTGTACAACTCGGCCAGAAGAACCTGTTCACTGGTAAGGCCTAGTTATTGACACTTTTTACGTACCGCCAATATCGACCGCCGCCACTCGTTCCACAATCGCCGTTGTGCCCTTCTGGAGCTATAAATACGTGTTCCTGTGGTCAGTACACCCTCGCTTGACTCACTTTTCCCTTCGTGTCATCATTAACGTCCGCTAGTCTTGCCCTTCGGCTATCTCCTTTCTCCTGTTGTTTTTGCAACAACTCTTGTTTACCCCCTTTCTATTCAAGAGAAGTAACTTCTTCCTCTGCCTTTTGAGCACTTCGTGATCCAGAAATGGGCACCGCAGGAGTTGTGAAGTTTTAGAGTGACTTTGCAGTGAGGACGATGACCGATGGGAAGGGAAGAGACTATGCTGGTGGACGGGATGATGTTGTTCTTTTTCATAGCTCGTCTAGTAGCGCCACCGCTTTGCGTGGCTATTATCTATGAGTGTGTATGTGTGTGCACGTAGAGGAAAAGTGCTGTCACTTCGCAGAAGTCCATGAACAGTAGTGGTAGCCCGTTTTATATCTACTAGTAGAGGGACGGTTACAATCGCTGCAGCGATCGGAATAACAACAATGACAACAGTCGGGCCACCAATTGTCTGCAAGTAATGGTCTAGGGACAAAGTCAAGTGACGTTTTTAACTGATAAAGTAAATTCAGTTATAATCTGTCGTCTCGTCCGTTTGGAGATATCTTTACGATATTACAAATGTCGCTTCTGCTTTGATTGGCGTTTTCTTCACTCTCAACATAGCGGTCACAAACGTTCGCGCACAGTGGATGCAGACAAAAAGAAGATATAGAACATGAACTTGTTCGCTGATTTTTAATAATCAAGAACTTGGTGTGAATAAGACGAAATACCAGTACAGAACCAGCAATAATACGCCCATATTAGTGGCCTTCGTTGTGCCACACGCTGGAAGCACGTTTGATAAATATTTCCGCTGAGAAGATTAACACGCTTAGAGGTTGATTGTTCACGCATTCGCGTGTGTACATTATAAAGAACTTGATGAGTCCAATGGATTCCAATACTTTTAAAATATGTATTTTCTATATTACTGTGAAAATGCGCCAAGACAAAGTGTCTCGGTATTTCAACCTCTTGCCAATGTCCGATCAGAGACACTCAACGATAAACTGCACCTTAAAAGGACGTCTCACGATCGTTCTTCTCAGCGTCAGAAGCGCAAGAAAGGCAGTTCTTTGCAGCGTGTTCGAGTCAGCAGCAGCCGCAGTGGACTAAAGCTTTAGAGTCAGAATGTATGGCGTCGGGTGGAAGTCTCTAGCTGGTCGGTCTCGCGTCGTCGCTCAAAGGAATTTTAATTTCTCCCCTTTGCTCTCGGCGTTCGCTTGTCATGAAAAAGAGAGGAGGCAAAGGGGCTTCGTGTCCTGAATGAGAAAGGAGAGGACAAGCACGGTCTTGCCCATGTCCGGAGAGACAGGATCCCCGCCAGGCGGACTAACGGGCACCCGAGACCAGGAACAAGGTAAAATGTAGGGAAATGTCCGGTAGTTGCAGTGGCTTGCCGTTAGAAGGACGGCATCGTGGAAGCTGGCACTCGAGAGCGCCTGGCAAACGCACTTTGGCCGCATCGTATATAAGAGGAAAAAGGGGCAAAACGAAGACGGTGGAACGAAGCATGACGAGAGGAAACGAAAAAACGGAAGAGCGCACGCGGACTTGAACGAATACGGGACTTAAGACGAGCGAGTGAGTATGGCGGGACAAAATTGGAACGACGGCCTCGAATGCCAAGCCGAGGGAACCGGTTGGGTTTCACAGGACTTCTTCAAGATGGCTCCTTTTTCGCTTGTTCTTTTTCTCTCTTGAGAGCTGATATTCAACAACGATATTAACTTGCTTAGCCATCCCCGCCACTCACCTTACTACCAGGTGGCAGATAGCAGGGCATACGCTCCGTCACCCTTTGGAACACATACGCGAACATTCTCATCTGCATAATCTGGACACATATAGGTATGTTCAGATACGTAAAAACTAAAAGGGGCATTACTGATATGGCACTGGGTATCGTTCTCAAAGTGCGGTGCTGCTGGTGAGCGTCATTCAGATCGGGGAGCTGGTA